CCACATACTTTTTTACGGTGTTAAATTTATCTTTTTACATAACCGTATTAACGAGAGTTACTTTCCGTCATTTCTTTGTATTTTTCGCCGGGATTCAGTATTTTACTGTCCGCAATATCGAGGTGTCCGTTGTAGCGGGGTGTCCGTAAGGCGAGAGTTGAGTGTATTGCAAATGCTTAATAAATAAACTTAAAGATACCATTATGTAATAAACATGTCACTTAATTACCTTTTTCTTCGATTTCAGGATCAACTCGAAGTTGTTTAGCAAGTCGCATGGCTCCAAACATGATAAAAGCACATCCCATAGCCCAAACCATGATTGACAACATACCCCCMAAGTTCCATCCAAATTGAACGAATGCATGCCGATCCCATTTGTAAAAGATACCAACATCATATGCCATGAGAGGAGCCGCAAGAGTACCCCAAAAGCCACCTCCTAGATGTACTGAAACGTGAAGGAAATGTACAGTTATTGCATAGTCGTACTGTCCAAATATCATCCTTTTCTTGCAGCGCACGAGCTCTAGCTGGACCAATGTAAATTTTGAGCGATTTTATGACGTCAAGAGTGTGTAAATAAGAGAAAAAACATAATTCAATTCATTCATTTATTCATTTCATGGTATCAATCAACTGTTTATTTCTTACTCACCAGCAACTGCGTCAACAGGGTCGTCGATCTTGAGCTTTAAAACTGCCCAGCTCCACATCGTGTASGTCAGCCCTGCAACAATCCCAACTACTATTGCAGAATACGGCTGGTAAACATTTGCACCAGCACAGATGGCAACCTGTATTAACGTAATTCATACTTACATGATAAGAAATTATACGCTTTTCTTCCAAAAAACTCCCATGRTTCTTATCAGGCTCAGATCGACCTTTTCCATTATCAACGTTAATTGAAATAGGTGCATTTCATGTCATCTCTGTTAGCTCTTAGAGTCAATTTCGTATGAGTGGGAAACGGACGGTACTGTACTGTAACCGTAATCATACTGTAACGAAATTCTAGTGTCTTATTGCTTCACAAAAATTGTACAGACCAGGTCTGGTAACTGTGCGGTAACAGTGCGGTAATTTCTACCGTACGTTTTCCACTCATACGAAATTGACTCTATATGGTCGTCGCTGTCGTTGTTGTTGTTGTTGTTGTCGCTGTCGCTGTCGTTGTCATTGTCATTATCGTTGTGGTTGTGTTTGTCGTTCTCGTCCTCGTTATCACTAATGTTTATGATTATTTACCATTCCGGTGAGGCCACCATTGATGGTTATAAGCAGACTCCATTTCTTTTCTGCAAATCCCATACGTTTRACGGCCATAGCTGTGAGAGCTCCTCCACCACCTTAACAAATATAAGTAAATACGACCTCTATGAAAACAGTTGAGTAGATCATTCGAATCAAATAAACAAGCATGCAACTGAGAAACGTATTGCTATTTTCTAGTAAACTTCCGAGCATTCATATTCATGGTGCTTCATTGTTCATTGCACAAACACAGTTGCCTATCTTTGTTCATGTCCTATGCAAAAATGATCAGGAAAACAAGCAATAGGCGACATTCCGTCGTTCCTTACCTGAGATAATAGTGTTCACAATGGCCAAGGCAACAATTTCTGCATCTCCTTTTGAAGCAATACTTCCTTGTGAGCCGCCATTGAASGCAAAGAACCCGAAAAACAAAATGAAACCTCCCAAAGCACTCATCTACAACACAAATAACAAAATCATTCTTGGTTATTACATTTTTGCGTTCGTGAACATGTCATATTTCGCATTAATTTTTAGTTTTTCGGAGTGTTTAAACGTCAAGCAATAATAATCGATAGAACAACCATTATTTCAAGTAATACAGCAAAATCGAAAAACGTTTTTACTTTTGAGGCTAGCGTGACCTTGCAAGTATTATTTTAGTGTATACCGGAACAGTGTGTCCTTGTATGACCAACGGATTCCCATTCTCGTCAAATCGTCCAATTCTTGCTCCTACCAAAGCAGCTCCGACAAGTGCGCATGATCCACCAAGCAGGTGAACAACACTGCTGCCCGCAAAGTCCTGCAAATAAGCAAACTCGAGTAATTCGATCATTTGGATTGTGCTCGTTTGGATTATGATTATTCTAAATATCAAGAGAAAGCGAAGTCAGATATATATTCAAACAACTCCGGATACGTGTGGAATGGATTGAAGTTGTAATTTTTGTGTAGAATATATTATTTTTTTATACGAACACGTGACCACAGAATTCCCGTTAAGTCTTACCATAAAAGTTACAGTATGTGTGACGTTATCTTGGGTAAAAGTAGTACCAACAGCAAGCCATCCATTTGGGTTCCAGGCCCARTGCGCAGCCACAGGATAAATAAAACCTGTTGAATAAACAATAGTTAATAGCCGGACTTTCTCGGCTTAGTTTATTTTAACAAGACACCTTTTGGAGAAATATTATTTGATAACTTTTGATGGAAAAAGGAAGAATTCTTTTTGCTATATAGAGATCTATGGAAAAACAATTGCCCAAGCCACAAGATAAGTCAAGAAGGATTATATCAACATGGACGGAGGAAGCAAAAAAAATATTTGGGAGGAGGGGGCTGAATTATTGACGGGACCAAATAGTCAGGTTATCAATTTAATAGCTACATAAAGAATTTTAATTCTTTAAAACAATTCTATTAAAAAACGTGAAAATTATTGTCCATGATTTATGTACGATATTTTTAGTTTAAGGTAGAAATAAGATCATCATTTGAACCTTATTAGAAGTGTAGGATGAAAATAGATTGTAGAGGGAGACAGAAAGTCGAAAAAAAAACTGCAATTCATTTTTAAACTAACCGTGAAAACGAGAAACATTGAGAAAAGTACAATCATTCTAGCTCCGATCCATCTTATTAAACGATAATAGCAAAACTTGCCTGTCAAACATACAGAATACATCATGTAACTTGAGAACTCAGTCCTCTCYGCCATAGCACCGCTGACAATAGTTGACGACGTCGCAGCAAACACGAATTGAAAGAACCAATGRGCGTAAGTTGTAGCATGCGCCAAGGCGAAGTTACTGTAACCAATAAAACTGTTGCTCTTTTCGCCATACAAAAACGCGTAACCGAAAAGCCAAAATGACAAGCCTCCAATGACTATGAAGAATAAGAATCAGTCAAACATGATTAAACATAATAATGATTAAAATGATTAAATATATAATAAATAATTAGAGACAGTCAGCACCGAGTGGGACGAATCTCATGATTGGTTGAGAAAAACAATGGACCAATCAATAGTTTAAAAAAAGGTCTTTCAAAAAAAATCTTAACCTAAACAATAGAGCTGCTGTAAAGAGCAATCAAATAGCACGTTTCAATCGTTGCTACATAAAAAATTAAATCAATATTTATAGCCTCGCATGCAGACGATTATAAGAGGTAATGCTCTCAATTCTGGCACTGAGCCACCATTGGTTAACCAAAATGTACATTTAAAAGTCAGTTGTAACTACAAAAATTTCATAGCTTGTGTATACGATCGACATCACACCCACCCATCCCTAACTTACAGACATCGAGGACATTTTTCAGGAGAATATTCGTGGTGTTCTTTGAACGAACTGATCCTGCTTCAAGGAACGCAAAGCCAACTTGTAAAACTGTACAGAAAAAAAAACAGATAAGTTGATTAACAAATTCATTACTTTGATAACTCTAAACCTAGTAATATTTAGTTGAAGGCACAGCAGCAAGCTGTATAAATCTTCACGGAGAATTAAAGAAAATAACATTGTATATTTCGCTAAAACCTCACGAGTGCACAGTTTGGGCTACCTGTGGCATGAAATCAGCAAAGGGATCTGTCATGTCGTTGTAGAAACAGGAAAATCTTTCAAGCAATTGTCATTGGCAAATAATTAGAATGAATTAGTTAAATTTCTGTGGGATTTTAACACTTGCTGACAAATTGTGAATATTGAATGCATGTTTAATAGTACAAAGAGTGAGTAATTTTTATGGGAATATTATTTCCGTGAGCTGAGAGGCGAACTGATTCCAAAATTACCAAATATACATCCATTTATATAAAAAGACAGTTATAATTTGTGCAAAAAGCTTGAAAGGTCCGTTGTTTCTCTTTTTTATTGTTCGACTCTTTTAGATTCTTTTGTTATGAAATGTTTGTGAGCCAGTTCTTACGCAGTACATCTGTGCATCGAATTAATTTAGTTAAACATTTAATTTTGGTCCGTATTTGTAAGTCAGCCTACGGGCCTGTCAGTTTTATTTGTTTCCTCTACACTTAAGCTTTCAATGTTTGAATATCGATTACCCTGTGAAAACTCGGCGCGGCAAAATCTTCCCGTGTCAAATTTCAAAAGCACATAACCAAGTACACTACTCAAATGTAGCATTCATGTCTTTTTGGAATATTCAAACACATATATCCTGACAAATTTAAAAGTGATAGTACGTGTCGATGCTGAAGTTAACATGCGTGATGTTTTGCAAAACATTACGGTACGTATAATGCATCTGTCGGCCATGATGAAAAAGAAGTTACATAACCTCGAATTTGATAAACACGGCAGATGGCGCTTCTAAAAGCAAGTCGAATATTTTGGATTATATGCTCTAGAATATTCTTAAAATGAATAAAAGGATCATAAATGGGCCAAAATGGWGAATTCGTGTATGATTTTCATCTCTCGWTTTTGAATTCATGGCCGCATTGCATCATAACAATTTAAACTTACATTTCGCTCGATCGAACGATTCAATTCATGCAGTGAATTATTCACAATGCCCTTTTTTCCGTTTAGCACTGAGCACAGCTATAACAAAGATAGCTGATTTTCTATTCAATGTATATAGTGAGTTGCATTTTTGATTGACTGATTCAACCGCGCGCACGATGAATAGTTACTTTTGGGCGTCAAAAGGTTTGGAAATTCGTAAACCGAGTTACTTACAAAAAACAAAGATTCCCATCACTAGGATGAACAGTTCATTCAAGTTTTCTTGGATATCTTTTACTGCCTCTTCAAGGGTCGCCATTTTGTTGAGGAAAAAAATGCCTTGAAATCCTGCTCTTGATCAGCTAAATCTGAATTTTAAGGTTTGCATGATAATAGCGTAACATAAGTCTGACTGAAATAGCCACGTGTCAATTAGCTACGTACGTGCTCGAGTCAGACCCGGGTCACGCTTGTTAGAGTGGAATCTTCTACCAGACGACAGGGCGGTTATTTTTTTACTTTGGAAGTAAAATATTATTTATTGCAAATACATAGCTTTTCTCTGCAGTTGTTTTCATTGTCCATGCTAAAATACACCGCTCATCAGTTTTCAATTCAAATATGTATATTGTACTTTAGCCAGAAAAATTCAAAGAATCATTTTATTTTGCAGCGGAAATATACATAAATATATAGTTACAATGTTATATGATTGTTCCTTAATTCCATAAATGGTGTGTTTTTTTTATGGTGTATGTGGAAAAATCTAATAGGCAATGTGCGGCGATGCCATTTTATGTAGCAACAAAGCATGATGGTGGTTGTAGTCCGAGCTCACACTTATCCTAAACCATAAATATCTCCTTAAAGGCCTCTTTGATGCTTTCTTTGTAGAAATATAAGACAAAAGAACCTCTATTTTGGCTAAGAAAAAACAAAAACATTTTAAAAGGTCTGTTTTAGCGAACAAAAAGGACTNATAAATAATTAGAGACAGTCAGCACCGAGTGGGACGAATCTCATGATTGGTTGAGAAAAACAATGGACCAATCAATAGTTTAAAAAAGGTCTTTCAAAAAAAAACTTGACCTAAACAATAGAGCTGCTGTAAAGAGCAATCAAATAGCACGTTTCAATCGTTGCTACATAAAAAATTAAATCAATATTTATAGCCTCGCATGCAGACGATTATAAGAGGTAATGCTCTCAATTCTGGCACTGAGCCACCATTGGTTAACCAAAATGTACATTTAAAAGTCAGAACTACAAAAATTTCATAGCTTGTGTATACAACATCACACCCACCCCTCCCTAACTTACAGACATCGAGGACATTTTTCAGGAGAATATTCGTGGTGTTCTTTGAACGAACTGATCCTGCTTCAAGGAACGCAAAGCCAACTTGTAAAACTGTACAGAAAAAAAAACAGATAAGTTGATTAACAAATTCATTACTTTGATAACTCTAAACCTAGTAATATTTAGTTGAAGGCACAGCAGCAAGCTGTATAAATCTTCACGGAGAATTAAAGAAAATAACATTGTATATTTCGCTAAAACCTCACGAGTGCACAGTTTGGGCTACCTGTGGCATGAAATCAGCAAAGGGATCTGTCATGTCGTAGTAGAAACAGGGAAATCTTGCAAGCAATTGTCATTGGCAAATAATTAGAATGAATTAGTTAAATTTCTGTGGGATTTTAACACTTGCTGACAAATTGTGAATATTGAATGCATGTTTAATAGTACAAAGAGTGAGTAATTTTTATGGGAATATTATTTCCGTGAGCTGAGAGGCGAACTGATTCCAAAATTACCAAATATACATCCATTTATATAAAAAGACAGTTATAATTTGTGCAAAAAGCTTGAAAGGTCCGTTGTTTCTCTTTTTTATTGTTCGACTCTTTTAGATTCTTTTGTTATGAAATGTTTGTGAGCCAGTTCTTACGCACTATATCTGTGCATCGAATTAATTTAGTTAAACATTTAATTTTGGTCCGTATTTTTAAGTCAGCCTACGGGCCTGTCAGTTTTATTTGTTTCCTCTACACTTAAGCTTTCAATGTTTGAATATCGATTACCCTGTGAAAACTCGGCGCGGCAAAATCTTCCCGTGTCAAATTTCAAAAGCACATAACCAAGTACACTACTCAAATGTAGCATTCATGTCTTTTTGGAATATTCAAACACATATATCCTGACAAATTTAAAAGTGATAGTACGTGTCGATGCTGAAGTTAACATGCGTGATGTTTTGCAAAACATTACGGTACGTATAATGCATCTGTCGGCCATGATGAAAAAGAAGTTACATAACCTCGAATTTGATAAACACGGCAGATGGCGCTTCTAAAAGCAAGTCGAATATTTTGGATTATATGCTCTAGAATATTCTTAAAATGAATAAAAGGATCATAAATGGGCCAAAATGGWGAATTCGTGTATGATTTTCATCTCTCGWTTTTGAATTCATGGCCGCATTGCATCATAACAATTTAAACTTACATTTCGCTCGATCGAACGATTCAATTCATGCAGTGAATTATTCACAATGCCCTTTTTTCCGTTTAGCACTGAGCACAGCTATAACAAAGATAGCTGATTTTCTATTCAATGTATATAGTGAGTTGCATTTTTGATTGACTGATTCAACCGCGCGCACGATGAATAGTTACTTTTGGGCGTCAAAAGGTTTGGAAATTCGTAAACCGAGTTACTTACAAAAAACAAAGATTCCCATCACTAGGATGAACAGTTCATTCAAGTTTTCTTGGATATCTTTTACTGCCTCTTCAAGGGTCGTCATTTTGTTGAGGAAAAAAATGCCTTGAAATCCTGCTCTTGATCAGCTAAATCTGAATTTTAAGGTTTGCATGATAATAGCGTAACATAAGTCTGACTGAAATAGCCACGTGTCAATTAGCTACGTACGTGCTCGAGTCAGACCCGGGTCACGCTTGTTAGAGTGGAATCTTCTACCAGACGACAGGGCGGTTATTTTTTTACTTTGGAAGTAAAATATTATTTATTGCAAATACATAGCTTTTCTCTGCAGTTGTTTTCATTGTCCATGCTAAAATACACCGCTCATCAGTTTTCAATTCAAATATGTATATTGTACTTTAGCCAGAAAAATTCAAAGAATCATTTTATTTTGCAGCGGAAATATACATAAATATATAGTTACAATGTTATATGATTGTTCCTTAATTCCATAAATGGTGTGATTTTTTATGGTGTATGTGGAAAAATCTAATAGGCAATGTGCGGCGATGCCATTTTATTTAGCAAAGCATGATGGTAGTTGTAGTCCTCACACTTATCCTAGACCATAAATATCTCCTTAAAAGCCTATTTAACGCTTTCTTTGTAGAAACATATGACAAAAGAACCTCTATTTTGGCTAAGAAAAAACAAAAACATTTTAAAAGGWCTGTTTTAGCGAACAAAAAGGACTACGAGGACTACAACGACCACCATGCTTTGCTGCGAAATCTGGAATATCTGCACATTACCTATTTGAAATGAGCTCTTAGGTCTTAGGAAAACTTTCATTATCAAATAATGATGAATATCCCTCTTAAAACATCGACGGAAAGCTTTTTTACCACAATATTTTCTTAATTCAGTACATCCGGGTGTGAATATTTTGTGTTAGCCATAGACGCTTACGACAAAGCCGAAAGTCAAATCAAAACAAAGGAAACGAGGCACAAGATTTCCGTTCAACTGAGTCATAGAAAGAAATAATATCAAGAAAAATTGCTTCATAAAGGACATCATATATGGCCTTGTTGAATTTTTGAATTATTAAAAATAAGAATGTTTTAAAGCTACTTCTGATTTATGTCGTAAGCGTGTATTCCCGGCGCATGGATTGAATTGCATTAGATGGCCATACGGGATTGTTATAATATACGTGTCGCATGTGTGTGTGACGTGTAACTAGCCAGTAGCTAAAATTTACAAAGAAAATTTTTACAATTTTTCATCAAGAGCTCCGTGATTTGTACGTCCGAGGGATTCCTTCATCTCAACAGTGCCGTTCGCATGTCCATTTTCAATGTCTTGTCGGCCCACGATGAAACTTGGTGAAACAGAAATGGGAGTTGTCCAGCCATTACCATAACTGGCCAGTGGNTCAAATAATGATGAATATCCCTCTTAAAACATCGACAGAAAGCCTTTTTACCACATTATTTTCTTAATTCAGTACATCAGGGTGTGAATATTTTGTGTTAGGCATAGACGCTTACGACAAAGCCGAAAGTCAAATCAAAACAAAGGAAACGAGGCACAAGATTTCCGTTCATCTGAATCATAGAAAGAAATCATAGCAAGAAAAATTGCTTCATATGGCCTTTTGTTGAATTTTTTAATTATTAAAATAAGAATATTTTAAAGCTACTTCCGGGGTTTATGTCGTAAGCGTGTATTCCCGGCGTACGGATTTAATTGCATTAGATGGCCATACGGGATTGTTATAATATACGTGTCGCATGTGTGTGTGACGTGTAACTAGCCAGTAGCTACAATTTACAAAGAAAATTTTTACAATTTTTCATCAAGAGCTCCGTGATTTGTACGTCCGAGGGATTCCTTCATCTCAACAGTGCCGTTCGCATGTCCATTTTCAATGTCTTGTCGGCCCACGATGAAACTTGGTGAAACAGAAATGGGAGTTGTCCAGCCATTACCATAACTGGCCAGTGGGTATGCAGGCTCACCATGCTTGTAAATGTCGAGACCTGCAAAGTTTGCAAATATATTGATTTGATTGTTTATATCAGAGGACAAAGACACGGGAAAATGTTTTTCGCTAGGAAAGCGCAAAAAAATTATAGCACTCGAGAAGCAAGAGAAACACTCGCTACGCCATTGTTTCTAAGCTCGTGTTCTTCAACTCCCACCGTGTTTATATCAGAGGACGGAGAAACGCACGCAATTTTATATTTTTTAAACATAAATCACTGTGCGTTACCTTTTTCTTCGATTTCAGCATCAACTCGAAGTTGTTTCGCAAGTCGCATGATTCCAAACATRATAAAGGCACAAGCCATAGCCCAAACCATGATTGACAACATACCCGCCAAGTTAAATCCAAATTGAACGAATGAACGGCGGTCCCACTTATACAACACACCYGTGTCAAATGCCATGAGAGGAGCAGCAAGAGTACCCCAAAAGCCGCCYCCTAAATGTACTGAAACATAAAAAGGTATGCATAATTATTTTGGATTTAAGCACATCTGGTCCCGACATACATTATTGTCAACCTGTTTAACCACACACCGCGCGACCTAAGTTGTTCGCTGGTTCATTCAGGCATCCATACGATTCATCACAACCATTTCAAAGCCATTGRCATTTCACTATTAAGTAATTTTTCAGTAGATTCAGTGTTCAGCCATTCATTTTGCCTCACTCTTAATCAGTATTCTTAGGATCTCCAAGGAGCAATTMTTTTCTTCATCCTACCATTTTTCTATTTTTTCATTTTAATTCATTCATTTTTCAAAAAGCAGTTATTCGTTCGCTGGTGTACGTGAAGCGGGGGTGCGTTCGTTCGAATCACTCATCAAATGTACTTTCACGGAAAAACCTCTCTAATTATACTAATACAATGTGAGATATACCTTTCCCAGGATGCAAATTGATCACCGATCGATTATCGACGTGTTCTTTACTCACCAGCAACTGCGTCAACAGGGTCGTCGATCTTGAGCTTCAAAACTGCCCAGCTCCACAGCGTGTAGGTCAGCCCTGCAACAATCCCAACTACTATCGCACAGTATGGCTGGTAAACATTTGCTCCAGCACAGATGGCAACCTGTATTAATACGATACACGCAAGTTAGACATTATAGCGCTCCGTCAGATTCCAAAGATAAAATGGAATATCTATCATTTACCATTCCGGTGAGGCCACCATTGATAGTTATAAGCAGACTCCATTTCTTTTCTGCAAATCCCATACGCTTGATGGCCATAGCTGTGATAGCTCCTCCACCGCCTAAAAAGAYATAACATCAATGAAAACAGTTGAATAAACAAACGAAGCAATAAAAAAATCAAATAAGAAAATGAATTGCTGTTTTCTACTTCCAACAATGTTCGTTCCACTAAGAATATGTTCACCAGAGTCTAATTTTCATTTCCATGATAAACATGGCTGCCTTTTATTTGTCTTCATATCAAAGAATTGCCTCAGAAAAGTTGTCATATTTGGAAGTACGTTAAGACTGGAATTTTGACGATTATCAGACTAAAAGTTGCAGATATTATAGCGAAAACACTTCTGAAAAATCTGCCATTTTGTTTGTTTCCATATATGGCATGAATTCGCCAATGGAAGACCGAAACTAAAATGAACAGGGATCCCGCACGAATGACATACAATTCTTTGATATGTTGAAAAAAACAGAAATAACTGTTCCGTCTTTCCTTACCTGAGACAATAGTGTTCACAATGGCCAAAGCAACGACTGCTGCATCTCCTTTTGWGGCAATACTTCCTTGCGAGCCGCCATTGAACGCAAAGAACCCGAAAAACAAGATGAAACCTCCCAAAGCGCCAATCTACGAAACAATGAGTACGATTTTAGCAACTGCATCCACAATGTTTGTCGTGTTCGTTTTTAAATGGTGCTGTAATACACTGCTTTAATTCTCTTGTAAGCGACAGTGATCGAGAAGGAAGTTGTTAGACAACTGCAAAGTTTTAACGAGCGAGGTTTTGTTGTTTGTTGTTTTGTTTTGTTTTGCAATTAGGTGTGTGTATGTTGAAGCAATTTCAGAAAACATTGAATACTGAAAACTACACACCGCATTGCGTATTGATACAAAAGCAAGTCGATCAATAAAAGTAGATGAATGCAATTATACCGGAACTGTGTGTCCTTGTATGACCAATGGTTTGCCATTCTCGTCAAATCGTCCAATTCTTGCCCCTACCAAAGCAGCGCCGACGAGTGCGCATGATCCACCAAGCAGGTGAACAACACTGCTGCCCGCAAAGTCCTGCAAGGAAAGCGAGRAAATATAAAWRWTTGCGGAACGATTTAGAAAATATCCAGGGACTGTGGGTGGGACGTATGTTTTAATCTTATGGTGGAGAAAATACTTTTCTTCATATGAACCAGAAAACTCWTATATGCCGTCTTACCATGAAAGTTACGGTTTGCTCGACACCATCTTGGGTAAAGGTTGTTCCAACAGCAAGCCATCCATCGCTGCTCCAGGCCCAGTGCGCCGCMACCGGATAAATGAAACCTGTTAAATAATTTTTTTTTTGGCAATTTTAATTTTTAAAATATCTGAATTTGAAGCCGTGGCATTCGTGTTTTTTGTGTACTTTTTTAACGACCTTTTCAAAAGATATTAAGGTATGTATRTATTTTATTGTAATGAGCTGAAACTTCTCAGGAGTGAGAAATAAGAAGAACACCATGCTCTAGTTTGTTCAAATTATATTAGGATTTGACGCTTTTATTGAACTTTACCTGTCAAAAATACAGAATACACCATGTAGCTTGAAAAYTCAGTCCTTTCAGCCATCGCACCGCTGACAATAGTTGACGACGTCGCAGCAAACACGAATTGAAAGAACCAATGGGAGTATTTTGAAGCGGGCACATTCGCTAAAGCAAAGTAGCTGTGACCAATGAACTCGTTGCCTTCCTCGCCATAAGCAAAYGCGTAGCCAAACAACCAAAATGCTAATCCTCCAATGACTACAAAAGAATTAGACTCAATGTCAAATATATGGTATACRCCTCAATAACAAGAAAATTAACATTAAAAAATATTTGTTAACTTTAACATTTGCGAATGGAGATTTGTTCAGCTTGACTCGATACTTCGATTCGCTGAATTCTTTACATTAATTTCTATTTGTAAATAGTATTATTGCTGTTTTGGTTTTTATTTCGAAACAAACATTTGCAAACGTTGTCTGGATGAAACTGCTAATATCATCTTTGAAGCTAAAGCCAACGCCTAACTTTATTCGTCTAACTCAACTCTGTTCAAAATTCTTTTTACAATCAAGCTTTCAGGAGCTTTAGTATTTCAATGTAAARSCTATGTGTTTTTAAAAATTCAAGCTATCAGCTCCAATTTCAGAAGAAGTTTACAAACTGTTGTAGTTTACTACAAGGGAATGAAGTACAAAACTGTCGTCGCTCCAAATGCAAGTGAGCTCAAACCAATAACGCACATAGAATATTGGATTTGGCAGGGCAAACTGAATTAAAGAGTCACAACCAACCGCTGTAACTTGCGAGGTGGACTAGGTGGACACGAAAATGGAGGCGATTCGTAGGATTTCTCAAAGATTTCTTAAAATCCTTTCAGGTTAATTGGACAGAAATACCTTTAACTGCTTTTGCCTTTAACTGYTTTTTGCCCAGCATGAAAACGGTCGCAACGCTTCATGGGATGTCATGCCCAGCATGAAAACGGTCGCAACGCTTCATGGGATTTCATGCACAGCATAAAAATGCTCGCAAAGCTTCATGAATTTATAAATGTTCGCAATACCTCCTGGGTATTTATGAGTCGGTATGAAAATGATCCAATTGATGATAAAATTGTGCATATGCAGCATGTAACATATTAGCTCATGCCYTATAAACGTTTTGAAACACTTYTACCATGTCGTGTACGCTTCAACGTGATTTTTGCCGTTABACGCAYGAAATATTTYGCTTCATGCTAAAAATGATGTTAGATGAACGCTCAGCTTCAATCCATGCCGGAAACGCGCATTTTTATAATTTAAAATAATATTCTTCGACGATTTTCACGCCTGTGAGGCATGAATCAAGCCTTCTCTATGCCAAAAACGCTTAATATCGCTTTTTTTTCTACGGTCTCTATGTGAGAATGGCATAAAATCGTGCAAAATTCATGCCAACAASTGAAAATTTGCTAAAAACTGTACTAAATTTTACTTTCTAACMCGTTCTAAGTACCTCACAGGTACTATCAAACTATAATCTATTATATGCTTGACGCATTTAAACGTATGTAAACAATAACAAGAGGGAGCGCTGTATTGTGGTTTGGTTGGGATTCTTTAAGTCCAGCCTTTGAACCAGGCCAAATAAGACGCGGAATTTTAGTTGATTTGTTGTATTCTGAAATTTGAATTATATATGTCTATGCAGGTTTTCATTATTCACAGTTGTCGAAGAGATAGCCATAGATCGCTATTTACGATGTTTTTGAACCTGACAATTAAACTTGACAGTTGAACAGTTTTTAAACAAGCGGGATCCATAATTACCCCCAAGTGTTAAACTATGCGTGTTCGCAGTATGATCAAGTGCGTGATCACCTTGAGTGCTCACAGGACGACGGATCACGCATACGGCGATCACGTGTAAAAACATGCGGTAACRCGCAGCAAAACACTGTCGGGTTCAACGATCATAGCTATAGCCCAAYCTCAGCACTTGTCGGCTTTTCTGTGAAGATCTTATAGAAAAAAAACGAATATATTATATATTTAGTAAATATATTACCTACGGTACAAACATCAAGAAAAAAATAAGCACAAAACATTGTGTGAATTTTTCGTTTTTCTCTATAAGCTTTAGAGAAAAGCCAACAAGAGCTGAGCTTGGGCTACCTGCWGTGCAGCGATGCGATCTTTTTGAATCTGACAAGATTTTTACAATGTTGACATTTGTTTTTTCTAACGTACTTACAGACATCGAGGACATTTTTCAGGAGAATATTCGTGGTGTTCTTTGAACGAACTGATCCTGCTTCAAGGAACGCAAAGCCAACTTGTAAAACTRTATAGAGAAAGAAATTATGTAATGATTAGTTTAATTTTTACTTTATTTACAACTATGATTATAGAATAGTTTGATCAAGCGTATAATAATAATAATCTGTTTTTATATGGATGAACTTTTCAATTCAATTCAATTCAGTTTTACTTTATTTACGAATAAGATTGTAGAATAGTTGTAATAAACGTATGAATCTTAGCATGTAGCATTTGTATTTATATTAGAGCGACAGCCAAAAGGAGTAAATTGGCTTTGTAGCTTCCTGTTGTAATTGTTGATTACATTTTTKGTTAAAAGATGAATTATAAAATTGTTAATAATAGCATTCTTTTTTACGATATGAATTACAGTCCAAATCGCAAAGCCGTAACCCGCGAAAAAGTATTTTTAGAKTATTTTGTGTTCATTGACGAATCAGAAGCGAGGTAAACCGTCATCTCCGTGCATTTTCACGTGTACACTTCATCAGTTTTAATTGACAAACAATAATACTAATTTATCACTAAAAAACGAACGATAAAATCACACTAATAGTAAGTTTCCTTTATTTAGAATAAATACAAAGCTCATTCATTKGTATTTTTCAATCCTACTTTCGTGTGTGCAACTAAAGCCAATTTTTAWGTACACATTCCTGAAATAATTCCAGCCGGGTCACGCGGCTGTGTGCTTCACTGGGCAAGACTGTTGACAAGATCTTTACAATATGAATTAAAATTCATTCCTCAAAGTTGGACACGCATGAAAATTGGACTTTGATCATTCTAAATGGCGTCTACACTACATGGTTGGTCATAGTCCAGGCAAATATTGGGCGTCTCGCACTTGCATAACACCAACATTAGGGACCGGCCATTAGATTTTTTGAGGCGGCCGGGGGGTAAGGGGGGAAGGTTAAATGCCAAAAAAATAAATAAATAAGTAAATCGAACACAGACTGAATCTAAGGAAAAAATAAAACTTTATCAGCAGGAATTGAATCTTTTTATGATTCATCTATACTTCTGAGAACATATTAAACCGAAAAAAAAATCGTAGCGCCTTGGGTGAAAATGTCCAAAGTGAAACAGACTGCATTTAAAAATTATCYAGCAAATAATTTAGGATTGAAAAAAAAAATCGAGAAGCGCTACAACAGATGATAAAAACATCTCATAAAGAAARATAGCCCAACCTCCCCTCCTCCTCGCCCCCTCTCCCCCCCCCTCCTCAAATATTTAATGGCCCGTCCCTTAAACAGGGTCTTTCTCTAAAATTAAACTCACATACGCAAATTCGAATTAAAATCAAGAGAGAATTTATGAATCGTAGACTGAAATGCTTCTCAAAAGAAGATAAGAGAAAACGATATAAAAAGATTAAAATGGACTACTAGTCAATAGCGGGAACACATTGCACTTGCTGCAAAACGACACAGACTATTATAATATAAATGTCATGTTATAATACATATAAGAGGTGMGCGATTTTTAGATTTGTCGATAATACAAAGCAATTATTATAGTTATTCTGGTCAGGCACTACATCTCGAATTCAAAAATTGTTTGAATGATAATTTCTAAATAACCTTTACTCACAGAAGACAAAGATTCCCATTACCAGCAAGAATAACTCATTCAAGTTATCTTGGATGTCTTTGATTGTCTGTTCTGTAGTTACGTTCATCATGATTTTGGCTACAAATCTCTCTTGAAGACCTGMGAAAGCAGTGCTCGTCCTTGGCGCAAAGTGAGGGTACAAGTGACGTGATAAAAAGCGTATAACAAATTTGAAGCGATTATTAACAAAAGAAAAAATCAACCATGCATTACTTTTACTATTTTGGCACACGATTGGGCACATGAATAGGTTTGCATCTATAATGCAAAGTTACATAACTTTGCAACACATGCAAGAGCATGTGAAAGAAAATTCCACGCGTAAGGGGTATAAAATGGGAAAACATTCAAAGCATTCTGAACATTCCTTCGTACAGTTGTCTGTTTTCTTGAGTGGAGTCTGTCGYGCAKCTTCCATATATGGATGTACATTCAAGCCCTTATTCATCCTWAGAGAAGCCTAAAGAAAGACTCAAACTTCGAGTCTTTGAAAAAGTTGACAAATTTACCTCAAGTTTACCTTAGAGCGATGCTTGTGTTATTATGATATTATTATCCCGGGTCGAATAGCGGCGCTGGACAATCAGAAAAGTTCTCAAGGATACTCAATAAATACCAGTGCCCCTTATTAGCCTTAAAACCGTAGCATTCCCAAATAAACTCGTAAAACAATTGCGCAAATCAACTAACTATGTTAGAGTTTTCCGATTATCCGAATTTCATTCGATATTATTAACAAAATTGATAATCGCCTTACACCTGCGTTCGTGTTTTCCGCTATAACTAGCTACGCAATCATAACTGAATCTAGGAAGAGAGGTTTTATTTCGGACAAAGAACGTCATTTTCATTGCTTGTTCCTTTTGATTTACCCTTTTGCTTTCAAAATACCCATGAATCAAAGAGTAACAGCCAAAATGTAATGTGAAAAAGTGTGAGTAAGGATTCTGTGAAATATCTGTACGTGTGGCGATAATATACCTTATTTTTGTTAGTAAATATTAGTCAGTATCTGCATGCCAACCGACCACGATCAAAGACAAAACACTAGAGACACCAAATACACCACACAAATTGACTAGAGACTTGGCACATGTCAAAAGTTAAAACTCATCCTTCATTAGTTGAAAGGACGGCTCACCATTGTCTTAATTATTGTAAACTATGTTATGGAGGTAAGATTCTAACATTCTTCTTCAATATACATCATCAAATTTCTTTTATGGAGYACGTTATAAACAATTTGAAAGTGTATAGACTATGATGAAATGCACACTGAAATGATTCAGACCCATTCAGGTTTTGGTAGCTATAATTTCCAGTGATATATATTTTAGTCTGTGCAATCCGAAATAGTGCAAGAAAAAAAAGCATGAGTATGAATTGTAAAACAAAATAATATTGTAAATTCAAATACTTATTCACTCGCATTGAGCCATCTTCAGTTGTAGTGTCACAAACTGATGCTTGGAAGAGCGTGTTTTAAATTGTTTTTATCTTGTTTCAACGTTTCTGACTCCATAGTTCTTGCCTTGGCCTAGGATGACTTGGATGGTTTTGTTCATCGATGAAAACTGAGAGTCTCTTGATCATCATCTTCAGTTTAATTATGTTATACTATTTTGAGTCTTCTTAGAAGAAAAATTACTGATAAACATTACACTTTAGGAAACTTAAGCTGTGACTAGTTTTCTCGTTAGCTGTTTGACTACAGTACAACTAACGAGCCATCAAAGATAAAACAAGCTGAAGATAAAAGCAACTTCAAAAACACTGTCGCATGCACCAGCTAATGACACCAGTACAAACATCATGGCTCCATGCGAGTAAATAAGAATCGTTTTACAATATATTTAACTCCTGTTTTCGTCCGGATTTTCCATACAGGACGATTTATATATTTGGATACTGGAAAAAGTCACTAAACTTGAATCATTGCAGTATTTTTATCAAACTTTCAAATAGTTACATAACTGACACCAAAGAAAAAATTTGATTGTTTGTTTTGGCTAAAATCGAAGGAGTATGTTGAATTCTTTGTTGATTCAGAGTTTACAATGAAGACAATGATATGAGGTCTTTCAATTAAAAAGGATTTAAAGCTATTTTACTTAAACTTATTAAGTTATTGCAGTACTTCACTAAGTATTTGGTGTCTCAGTCGTGTAGTGTATTGTATTTGGTGAGTGTTCGGGTTGGATGATAGCTACCAACTAGAAAATCTACTAACCACTAAAGATTCCCACAGAATCCCTGATTGTACTCTACACCTTTTTAATGATGTACGCGGAAAAGACAGCTTTCCATTCACCRCAAAGAAATATTCATTGAAGCGAAGGAGCATTGTACTTTGAGCATACAGTAACGGGGAGTGTGCACGCTTTTATTTCACGATCATGAAGATTTTGGCGTGAGTTCGTTAACATTTTCAAACTTTCATTAGCATTTTCTGCGATGAAAAAAGCACGCATTCCATGGACATTTATTTGAGTAATACATTAAAAAAATATTAACTTACRCGTGGGATTTTAACTGTTTTTAAATTTCATCCAAGTCCAAAATATGAAATCTTGTAAACACAGCATTCAAGATGCTTCAAGGATAAATGTAATTTTTGTAATATGCTCTCAATGGACTCGTTGCCGAAAAGCAGACCGAAGAATCACCCAAAGATGCAGACTAGCATGTCCTAACAGAACTATTGTAATGAATAAAATAAAACCAGTCTGGTCTCCATTGGGATAGACTATAAACAATGGCGTGCAAGCATAATACCGGATTAGCCACTCATATTGTGTAAATACACCTTTATCTGCTCATTAGAGTGGTTCTCATTAACCCGTGAAACAAAGTGTAATAGTCAAAGTGTAATAAAGTGTAATAGCCAAGAAATATAATAAAAAACAAAAGAGCCAAGTGTAATAAAGTGTAATACGCTAAAGTGTATTTCACGGGTTAATGAGAG